ATAGATAGATAGATAGATAGATAGATAGATAGATAGATAGATAGATAGATAGATAGATGAATTAATGAATAAATAAATAAAGCTACCTCTATAGCTTCCTTTAAGTCCCAACTAAAATTCTTTTTTTTTACTGGAAGCCTTCCTAGACCCTTCTTAATTCTAGTGCCTTCCCTCTGTTAATTATTTCCTATTTATCCTGTATATAGTTTGCTTTGTACATATCTGTTTGCATGTTGTCTCCCTTATTAGATTGTAAGCTCCTTGAGGGGAGGGACTGCTTTTGCCTCTTTTTGTATCCCCAGTGCTTAACACAGTGCCTGGCACATACTAGGAGTTTAATAAATGTTTATTGATTGATTGATTGATTGGGGTAATACACTGAAGAGTATTGATGATATAAAGGAAATATTAACCATAAGTTGTTATTGATATTAGGGAGAACATAACAGAATTAAGTATCCAGAAAATGGCATTAGAGGCATCACAGCGTCCTGAAAACTAGAGAATTCAATTAAGAGAGTCTCATGTGGAGAATCTCTCCAGTGGGTTCTTGCAAATGTAAAGGGCCCTGGGGCAACTAAGTGGCACAGTGGATACAGCACTGGCCCTGGAGTCAGGAGGACCTGAGTTCAAATCCGACCTTAGACACATAATACTTCCTAGCTGTGTGACTCTGGGCAAGTCACTTAACCCCAACTGACTCACTAAAAAAAAAAAAATGTAAAGGGTCCAATATTTGTCACAAATGAGCCTCCATTTCTAGCTCATTTAATCTCTGAGGGACCTTATCCCAATTTCCACTCATCCTGACAAGTCAGGCTCCCAGAGTAAGACCCGTTTGATCTCTCCTTCAGGGTTCTGGTTGTTCCTCAGGGCTGAGATGGTGACAAACTCTAGTATGGACTTCCAGCCTTTTGAAGCTCAAAAAATTACAGTCATCTTCACTACTTCTTCATTTCTCTCAGCAACAATAGAGTCACATGTTTGCAGCTTCATGTTATCTCTGAGTGAGAGAGGGTCATACAAAGGTCCCTCTACCTCTTGGAGGTCTGTGTTAACTCATACTACTTAAACACAACCAGGAAACAGAGAAAGAATAAGGTCAAGTCATTTCAGAAGCCATTTGAAAAGCTTTTCCTCTATTTTGGTAAGTGGATTAGAAATAGTTGTGCAATACCTATCCATGCTCCAAAGTCCATGTAGCGAACTGCATTAAGCCAATGCTCATTCTCGTAAGGGCTGGGCTCTCATCAGCCAGTCCGCTATTACAGAATACATTTTGATTATATTTCTTCTACTTCATTGGCCATGAATTTTTAAAAACTATACAGCTAAGTCATGCACATGGACATCTCCAATGTACCATGTCCCATGTAAAAGGGAGTAAGTGTAAGTAAGAAAAGGAAGAAAGTGGAGTTTTCCCAGTGGGTAGGAGCTTGAGTCAAGATTCTCACTGGATAAATATCACCCTAAAGGCCAACAGCTACTATCTCCAAAAGGGCAGATCTGGGAAATAGATGTAACAGGTCTTTTGATCACACTCCCTGGTATTGGGTGAATAATACAATAACCAAGGAGAGAATGGGACTGCCAACAACTGGACCCTTATAATTGGAAAGAGTCAAATATATCTGGGCAGCTTATACCTCAGACTCTCACTAACTGTGTGACCTGAGGCAAGTCACGTAACCTCTGTTTGCCTCAGTTTCTTCATCTGTAAAATGGGAATAATAACAGCACCTACCTCCCAGTTGTGAAGATAAAAGGAAATAATTATAAAGAGCTTCACACAATGCCTGGCACATAGTAAGCACAATATATCGTTAGCTATATTACTATTATTGTTATTATTACTATAAGGCATAGTTTTGTGTGTGTATAAGACACATTTTGCTAAAATGGATCTTCATTCCAAAAGGACTCATTCAAGTCTAAAAGATAGCAGTTTATTAGATTCCTAGTTCGTAAATCATCTCTAGAGGCCTAAATCCTCCTTTCTTCTTATTCATTCATATTCAACTCTTTGTGACCCCATTTGGGGTTTTCTTGGCAAAGATACCAAAATGGTTTGTCATTTCCTTCTCTACCTCATTTTACATATGAGGAAACTGAGGCAAACAGGGTGAAGTGACTTGCCTAGGGTCATATAGCTAATAAGTGCCTAAAGCCAGTTTTGAACTCAGGTCTTCCTGACTTCAAGCCCAATACTTTATCTACTAGCTGCTCCACTAAACCCTGCATGTACTCCAAAAGCCCTTAGGATAGCAGGCTATATACTATTTTTTCCAGTCTCCTACCCTGTGTGGTCCCTATCTAAACACTACCTCTCCACCTCACCTCGCTTTAGAGATAAAGTCCTAAAATTTGCTCTACTGTTTAATTTTCTGTTTGCCAGTGATCAGTTTTCCCACTTTCTCCCCTCTGTGGCAGATACCCACATAAGGCCAGCTAGGGGGGATGGCATCTCAACTCTCTGTCCAACAGCTTTGGACCAGCTCGGCGTTAGGTCAAGGCCTGGCTTGTAACCTTTGGTTAGCAGGGTCCTAGGTTGTAGGACTGCAGGGGTTGGATCAGAACATCCTGAATTGGATTAATGGAAGTGGCTGCTAATTTCTAGCAGGTTCTCTATAACCTTCTTGCTAGCTTTGTCATCAGGAGTCTCCCTTTCATGAAGTCATTTTCAGTATTTTTTGAGGGTGTGTATCAATCAGCTCCTTCATCTAGGCTGCCATCCAGGTGTCACTGTACTTAGAAATTAGCCCACTCTCATTATAACTCTGGGCAACTAGGTGGTGCGGTAGATAGTGCAGGGCTTAGAGTCAAGAAGACTCACCTTCCTGAGTTGAAATCTGGCCTCAGACACTTACTAGCTATGTGACCCTGGGAGAGTCACTTAACTCTATTTGCCTCAGTTTCCTCATCTGTTAAATGAGCTGAAGAAGGAAATGGCAAACCGCTCTAGTACCTTTGCCAAGAAGACCCCAAATGGGGCCTCGACGAGCAAGACATGACTGAAACAACTGAACAGCAATTATAAGTCTTCTCCACCCCATCCCTACCTTAGTGCCCCCGAGACTTTTCATTTCCATTTGTTTTGGGGAGAAGTTCCTCCTTTAAGCATAAATTCCCTCTATTGTGACTATTTTGGTGATTCAAGAATTGAGAAAGTATTTTCTATTCTATGTATAAGTAACATACATTTTTCGTGAACAGCTGGTATTCTGACTGTCGCCTCTGGAGATACGCCATCAGATGTATAATACACCACAGACACCAGGTAGGCACCGCTTCCAAGATGTAATTTAAACTGTTGATTGGCCGTGGTGTTTGTTTCTTTAGCAGCAGTCTCATTTTCTGGAAAGTACCAGATGTTGTAGCCAAGTGTTTTCCTTATTCTTGGGTCCGCTCTTGCCTCCTACACACAAATAATACTGAAACTACTACCAGAAATCATGCTCAATGTCATTGAAAACAGTAACAGACAATCTGTGAAAGGGGGAGTGGAAATGATGAAAGATTTATGGGATTGATCCCGTAATCAAGAAATTACCCTTTGAGACTACATAACACAATGTAGCTAAAATAGCACAGCTCCTTTTAGGGTTGTAAAACCCTGAGGGTAACCCCATTCATGTGAGTGCCATGGGTGTCTTGGTACCCACATCTAAAGGTGCCCACCATGAAACCAAAGTAACTAAGAAGTCTAGGTCAATGTTAACAGTGCCTCCTCTCTAGCCTCCTTTCACCCACCCCTCTACCACCATCAATGGTTGATTGATCCCACAAAAGGCTAGTATAGTCACAAGGGTATGGGAATGCATGCTATTGAGGACCTAGGCTATCTCACTCTTGGCTAGCCCTAAATGTGACCTGTTCCTAGGCCAGCCATATTACAGAAGAGCCCAAGCACAGATTGATTTCAAAGCTAACCTACACATTCAGATCCACTCTAGGGCAGGCACCAGGAGTCACGGATCAAACCAAACCTTCGAACAGGGGCCAGAGAACTAAACAACCCTTTGTTCTAGGGAGGCAGAGCAAGCATCTACTTAAAATCGAAGAGTCGATAAAAAATGACGTAAGGAATGGCTTCAGAGAAACTTGAGAAGATTTGTATGAACAGATGCAAAGTGATAGGAACAGAACTAGGGGAATAATTTATACAGCAACAACAGTATAAAAACAAACAACTTGCAAAGACTTAGGAACTCTAATCAATGGAATGACCAACTACAACTCCAAAGGACCAATAATAAATCAAATTATTTACCTCTTGATCAAAAGGATCAGGGTATAGAATCAGACATACATTTTTCATATATCCAAAATGTAGATTTGTCTTGCTTAACAATGCTTATTAATTTTAAAGGTATTCTTTTTCTTTTTTTCGGTGTATAGAGGGAGGAAGAAATTAGAAGGGTAGATACTAAGAGTGCTGCCAAATAAAAATAAAAATAAAGACCTTAAAAATATTAAAAATAAAATGCATAAGAGAGAACAGAAGGAAGTTTAGAAGACAACAAACGAGCAGGGCAGTTTTGAAATTACAGGCTGAATTTATTCCATGCTTTTAAAAAAATCAAACTGTATTGTACATAATAGAAAGCCATGGTTTCACATACGATCATCTTTTTCTATTATACTTTGTACATAGAGGCATTTGTTAAGTGCAGAATTTTTTTTTAAATTTGTAAACAAATGAAGAGCCCATGAAGTCCCATTGCCTACAGATATTTTCCCCTCCTCCCAGGCCATTCTGCTACAAATCTGAAATTCTCAACATTAGAATCTCCTTGCCATTAAGTTGTTGTCACCAGAGGACCACATTTAAAAAGTACTGATGTCACCTGGGAAGGATAACATTGGCCAGGATCAATTTGTCAGACTATCAGGTTCCTTCAGGAATGGGAAACAAAGGCCAGTTTTGATGAACAAGGGACACCACCAGGAAGGCAATCCTCACACAGGATCTGCCTGTGAGATACTATGGGAAGCACTGGGGCAACACTAAAGCAAAAACAAAGAGGGAAACACTAAAAGAAGGACTTCATCTACATCACAACCTGGGTCTGGCCTTTCTCTGCTCTTGCTCAGCCTTGTGTTGTCCTGAAATAGGCACACATGTTGGCATGCTGCTCAAATTTACAAGAAATAGCTGGGGCTACTCAACAGCTAGAGAAGTTGCCCAACACTATTGTTTTTGTGCCAGTGCTCATAAATCCCAGAGTCCCAATGGACTAATTCTACAATACATGACTCTATGATATTTCTACAGAAAAGAATAATGAGTACTGGTCATGGATTAGATTTTTACACTCATCAAATTAGGCAGCAGCATCCACTGAATGATGACCTTTACTTATCCCAACAGCATGGGTGGTACAGGGAAGCCATTAAAGTTGTCATTACCCCTTACTGCCCACAAGATTTCATCTCCCATCTCACTTACTCTGTCTCCTCTCTTCCCTGTCTCTTTTCTTCTCTCTTCTATCTCATCCTTCCTCTCTCCTCCCTCTCCTGTCTCCTTGTCTCCTTCTCCACTATCTCTTCTCTCTTGTCTCCTCTTTTCCCTCTCTCCTCTCTCTTATAACCTCTCTACCATGTCCTTCTTCCTCTTTATTTTTCTCTGTCACCTCTATTCCATTGTCTCTTGTATCATGGTCTTTCTCTAGAAGAATGACTTGCTTTGAACTGTTATTCTTTTTGGAGAGAGAGCTGATTAATATTTCCAATACCCCCAATGATCAACCAATTTACCTGTTCCTAAACCAGTGCTTCTCAAACTGAAAGGCAGAGGGGGTCACAAGGAGGCTGTGACTAGTGAGCCACTAAGCTCCAACGAGGACTTTGTTTGTGGGAGGTAAGTTGTGAGCTACACTGCTGAATGGGATGACATGGCTTCTTCAACATCAAGGGTACTGACCATGCTGACTTATGTAGGGGTGGATAGAATTCCTTCTGGCTAGAAGGACAATTGTGAGTCCTGTGGGATTTCAGGAGCCTTTTGGGCAAGGGAATATGAAAAAGATTATGACATGCCACTAGGCTAGGGGAACCCTCACATGTGACATGAGCAGCATTACCTTCCATAACAGTTGCACTGTCCTCCCTCCATCAGGCTGGGCTGGCCCAAGGACTCTCCACAGGTCCAAGGTGGAATTTGGAGCTGTGGAAAATGAACCAAGTGTAAGATGAATGGCCTTCCCAAACACACCATTGCTTTCCCCAACTGCTCCTATCAAGTGAGGCAGGAAATTACAGAAGAGGAGAAAGACTAAAAAGATCCCACCAGGCTGCTGCTGGGAGGATGCCATTTGGAAGCCTTTCATTGTGTCTGTGCATTTGAGGGAAGTGGAGTCAGAAGGGTAGGAGTAGAGACGGCAAGAATGACTTCAGTCTGTCAGGCAAACAAGTGTGATCAGCTATAGTGGCCAGCTAGTTCTCCATGCATGTGAACAAGAATCCCCTCTATATTGCTTCAAGATGGGATTCTCCCATGAGGGGGAACAGCTCATACCATTTTTTGACAGTACAAACTGGTAGGAATTTTTTCCTTGCATCAAGCCTGAATTTGCCTCTCTGCAACTTCCATCCCTTGGGGTCAAGGAGAGCTCAAACCCTTCTGTCATGTGATAATCCTTCAAATCCCTACTATAACCTCCCTAAATCTTCTCCAGACAAGACAGCCTCATTTCCTTCAACCAGTGCTCATAATGGCATGAACTCAAGGGCCATGAAGATCCTGGCTACCCTCCTCTGAATGTACTCCAACATATTATTGACCCTCCCTAAATGTGCTGCCCAGAATTGAACAAAATACTCCAGATGTGATCTGACTTGGGTACCACAAAATAGGACTACTCTTTGATACTATGCCTCTCTCTTTTTTTTTAATGACTCACCATTTCCTTTATTTCTACAAAATAGTGAATAATACTCTGCCGAGGGGGGGAAATGGTGATTTAGAGTTTAAACAAGTCTTTTTGTCCTGAAGCATCTATTTTGTAGGCTTGGGACTAGTTGCCTTAGCCCCAGCATCTTTGGGTTTGGTAGCCTTTGGGTCAGTGGCCTTGGCAGACTTAGGATCAGTAGGTTTTGGAGTCCTGGAATCACAGGGCTTTGTGACCTTAGAATCTTAGTAACCTTGGGATCAAACTTGGTGACCTTTGCTTCAGACTTGGATGCCTACGGTCAGTTAGTGGCCTCAGGATAAGATTTGGTGACCTTGGGGGTCAGTGGGCTTGGTAGCCTTGGGATCAGTGGTTCTGGCAACCTTCATGATCCTAGGGCCTGGACTTTTGATGCTGACCCTAGGGCCTGAGTGCTTGGTGGCCATCTTGGAGCCAACGTGCTTGGGGATCTTGGGCCTGAGGAACTTGGCCTTGGAGGCCTTGGTGCTCAGGGCCTTAACGGCCTCTGCTTGGGCCTTCACAGTTTTGACTTGTTGACCTACATCTTCATATGCCCCTTCTTGTTGTGTTTCTTGTTAAAGCAAATGTTTCTCAGAAAGCTGGGGTCAACCCCTTTCAGAGAGATTCATATCTCTGTGACCTACTTTTCTTGATGGCATTTTTGTGCCATTTTCATGATTGGTTATGGATGGTTTAATTCTTAGACAATCATCTTTACACCGCAGCCTACACTGACAAGCACTCCATGGACTTGAACAGGCCAAAGAGGAAGGGAGAATAAGAGGGAGGAGGCTACAGTTCCTCTCCTAATAAAGCCTAAGATAGCATACTGTTGACTCATACCGAACTTTTGGTCTACTAAAACATTCAGAAATGTTCCAAATGAATTGCAGCATACCAATGCCTCCACCATCTAATTTTTAGGACCATAGCATCATAGGATCATAGATTCCAAGATGAAAGATACCTCAGTGAGCACTAGTCCAACCTCTATATTTTATAGTAGAGGAAGCTGAGACCTAGGGAGGCTGTGACTTATTTCACACAGGGAGTACAAATAAATCTGGATTTGAACCCAGGTCTTCTGACTCAAGATTTATCATACCATGCTTCCGTGTAAAACTAAAAAAAAATTTATACTCAAATGTAAGATCTATATACCTACTAAATTTCATGTTATTAAATGAGCCTTTCAAAACCTTCATACAGACACACATGTCCAAATCTGTGTCATCTCACATCCTCACCAACCTAACCAAATATATTAAGTCTGATCAAAATTCCTTGAGAACCAGATAAAGGTATAAATTAGATAAAGATATAAAAAAAACTATGGAACCAGAGAAAGGAAGTGATATCCAAGGGCACAGAGGTAAGTGACAGAGCTGGGATTCAGAGCCTGGTCTTCAGACTTAATCCTGTATTCTTGTCACTGAAACACATTGCAGTTAATAAAAGACCAGCTTGCCTAGTCCCTCAGTTGTCCCTATTCTCTCTTCACTCCAGCTGCTCCATAACTCTGAGGTGTCCACACGGCATTGCATGGACACAGCATATTGCTGCAGAAGCTGCAGTCCAGTGAGATTGTATGGTCTTTCATTTTCCATTCTTTGGATGACTGGCTTCTAAAGAAAAAGACAGAAACAACAAATTGGAAAAGAACCATAGATTTGCCCCCAATTTCTCCAGTTTGTGAACTCTTCACCTTCCTGCCTTTCTATAACAAGCTACAGAACTAGGAAAGTCTTCTTTATGCTTCCAACTAAGAAAATTCATGTTAACAAACACCATGTGTCCTGAGGAATATCATACACATATGTAGTTCCAAAATCTAACTAAGCAATCTCTTCAAGAATGTGCTGACTGGCTTTATTCATTGATTCCTCATGCCCCTTCATGGGCATAGGACCACCGATGCTAAAGCTGGAAGGAACCTTAGACGTCATCTTATTTTAAAGATGAGTAAACTGAGGCCTGGAGAAGCCAAGTGTTTCACTCAAGGTCATATAGGTAATAAGTAGCAGACCTGGGATTCAAATCCAAGGGCCCTACCACCAAATCTACCGCCAATTTTATCTCTTAAAGCAAGTGAAAAGTTGCCATCTTAGAAGGAAGGCATATTTATCGGGACTGGAGGAAACAGAGTCAGAGTAGAAACCCTATGGTAATTTTGGGATGAGGAAAGATGAAAAAGCTTTATGCTTCTGTGGCCTGTGAATGAGTTGCCATTGTTGGTCAGGAAGACACTGAGTGAGTCGAGAATTGGTGGATTCCTTTGCTGACTTTTTCTTTATGTACTCAGAACTTAGCCCAGTGCCTAATACATAGTAGGTATTTAATAAGTACTTATGGATTGATTTAGGATTTTTCTCTTTTTTTTTGTATGTGTATATACCATTTCCTCCCCTAAATGAGGTCACAAAGAGTAGGACATGACTGAACAATAACAACAAAAATACTATTTCCTGAAAATATTGAGTAAAAAATGTAAACAATAGATATTATTCATTCACATTTATATAACAGTTGAAGGTTTACAAAGTGTTTTTCTCCCACCAGCCCAGTGAGGTAGGAAGTGGAAATATGATCATCTCCCTTCTGCAGATGAGACAAAGTGACTTGATTCACACAGATCACATAGCCAAGGCTTGTAAGACCCAGGATTCAAACCCAGGTCTTCTGGCTCCAATTCCAGCATTCTTTCTTCATATTTTTTACACTAAACTCATATAAGCAGCTATGAAAATAAGTTCTTGATAATAATGAAAGGGATAGATTTGGAGAAGTTTTAGAAGACTTGTATCAATTGATACAAAGTGAAATAAGTAGATCCAAGAGAACTATTTATATAGTGACTACAGTGATATATAGGGGGGAAAGCTTCAAAAGACTTAAGAACTCCAGTCAATGTAATGACCAATCACAACTCCAAAAGACTGTTGAAAGAGAAGTAATGGACTAGAGGTGAGAAGGGAGATGTAGATCTTCCAATGTACGAATCTATTTTGCTTAGAGAAAAGCAAAAGCTTTTATTTTTATTTTTTTTAGGGGAAGGGATACAGTGGAAGAGGTTAAGAGAGCTATGGGAGAAGAATGGGTGGATAGTGATAATTATGCAGAAATGAAAGAGAGGAAAGATAAGAAGATGAGGGGGGAGGAGAGGAATGAAGGAAAGAGAAGGAAAGAAATGAAGAGAGGAGTGGAGAAGGGAAGGAAGAGAAGAGAAGAGAAGAGAAGAGAAGAGAAGAGAAGAGAAGAGA